GCATCTGAGTTTGGGACGTGCTCATTTGACGTCACGCTATGTTAAATGTTTAGGACAGGGGCGCCATCTTGTGAGGATTCGCTGTACCTGCTACTGAACAGAGCGCCGTATGTAAAATGGCGCCCCCTCTCCTTTATTGTATCTTTTCCCTCCCTGACCTCGCTACCGCGGATGGCGGGCTTTTTCAAATATCTTTAGCTGATGACAGAGGGAGCTAGTAAAGAAGCTTCTTGGTGAGTACAATTATCTAGAGAATCTATCATGTAAAGACATGTTAATAAAATACCCGACGCGTTAAATATCGAAGTATTGTTTATTTAATAAAGACTATAGACACTGGGCAATCACGGCAGCCAACTTGCTAATTTGTACTAAGCTAATGTTAGTGTTGCAGTGAGTGTTTTAGCTAACCTTATATTAAATCAACCTAGTTTACATACTATTACACTGATCTTCATACAGCCCTGTCCAGACAAGGCAGTGTAAATAAAGGCTGAAACACAAAACCTCTGTGAGTCTTTAGATTATTTATTTGTTTTTGTTCACAACAATAATGTTATGTGTTTACAGTAACATTAAGCAGCCGCTCGCTATAGAGTTGTAACGTTATGCTCCGCCATCTGACTGGCTGAATAATGTTATTGTGGTCATGAAATTCAGTCCAACTTTTTATAAGTCACTCTCATCTTGACGTCTGGATAAAATCAAACATGTTAAATATTATCAGAAGTTTTTCGCTCTCTCCCAGCACCAAACGGAAAGCAGCAAAGTGAGTACTAATTAACGGCCGGAGGAAAAAAAATGTTACACACACATAACAGACTGTGTATTAACAGTGTTATAATGTCGTGTTTAATTCGGCGTGTATATGATCCACCAGCCAGCACTGGTGATAAATCTTTATTTTACAAAGACTCGCCTCATCCCCACGGTCTTCTCCCACTAAAATAGCGCACCAAACCAATGGAGGCTGGTTTAGCGAGTTGAGCCGACAAAATCCAAAATGTACAGTTTGCACGCAAATGGAGCTCATTTTACTAGACTATATTAATGCCGAATCAACAAGGGGACTTTGGCTGTATAACACATTTTATTTTGTGTTTCTACATTCATGTGTTATTGCGGACACGTAAGGAATTGTTAATATGTCATACATCTTAAAGGGAATTTGGCGTGATATTTCCCCCGGAGAGCGCAGGGACCATTAGTTTAATTCAAACCGCTATTTGTATATTTTTAATGTTTTGACACCACTACAGAAACACTGGGTAGTAACTGCTTAATTATGACATGGTTTTCTGAAATTGACTGCTGTTATTTATTGGTTTGATTAATAGTTGGTTTACAGGTGTGTATTGATTACTGATGGTGGCCTATCAGGCTAATTGTCAGCTAATTGCTGTACTCAGTTTGTAATGGCAGCAGTAAATATTTGCCCTTGTTGCCCTTTGTGTTCATGTTTTTAAACCACCATGCTAACTAAATTTGATGTGCTTGATGGTGGTTTTGACATCTGATGAAACATGAAAGCTCAGCACTGTCATTAATGTTTAGCATCCCTTTGTTGTGGTCACAATAAAAAAATATTTACTAAAATATTTCTCTGTATGATATGACCTCCTCTTTCTGTCAGCTGCTGTGTGTCAGCAGTGTATTTAGCTTACTGTTTTTTCCACACATGATTTCAGGTCAGTTGAAGGAGTTCAACCTGTGACTTTCCACCTTTGTATGATTATCCAGGCTGCTGCTGTTTCTACTGTATTTCATGCAGTTTGTGAGGTTTCCAAACAGAAATACTCCAACATCCAGCAGCTGACAGTGCTGTGTTCACATAGTAATGGTTGAAGGTGGTTTCTGTGGGTAGTTGTGTAAACTGTGAAGCTGTTTTAAAGTTGTAAAAAATACCTTGTTATGTCATGCATCCTGGAAATTTAGGATGTTTTTTTTCCCCCACGTTCAGTGGCACCTTTCTGTAGGGCTGCTCCATTTTAACTGTGTGCTCTGGGTTCTGTTACATCATAAGCAGGCAAGCAGACAATTTCTTACGTGTCTGCAAAAACACATAACTCTAGAAACACAAGATAAAAGGTGTGATATGTCCAAAGTCCTCTTGTTAATTCTGCATCAATATAGTCTCTTAAAATGAGCTGCATTTGCATACAAAGTGTACATTTTTATCTTAATTACTCAAAATAGCCGAAAGGTGACTAATAAGGCAATCATATTAGTAGTTTTGACAATCAAAAGCTGATGCCGGGTTGCCAGCCTGGGAAACTAGTTTTAAATGTTAAAGTTGAGCCCTGATTGATTGCTGAGGTACAAAAACATTTAGTTATGTTTATTGTAATTATTGTAAAGTTTGATTTCAATTTTCATTTACTTATATTAACAATGGATTAACAACTGAATTATTTTTTAGGCTTTTTAACCTACTCTTTTTGTCCTCTGAATAACTTAAAGAACAAACAGCAAGCACCAGGTTTCAGCTATTGGGCAATTCCATAAAATGTCAACCTCACCATGAAAAAATAAAGTAGCCATATTTATAACAAAACCCATTTAAAATGTATCATCAAGGTCTATATTTTGAAGTACAAAATACATTTGATCACAATATTTATGCAAATACATGTTTTTCCTCACTACAATGAGGAGACACAATAATGTAAAAATGTATTTTTCAGTGAACAAAATTGTATGACTTTCTGAATAGCCAGAATGGCAAAAAAAATCACCTACAGATGTCTTCTAACCTCACTTTTTATCAGGAAGGGCTGTTGTATCAATATGTAAATCAGTTATGTACTTTGTGTCTTTCCATTGGCCGGTGGAACGTGCTGTTATGATGCCCGTTTATGGGACAACTCATGTAACGTCCATAACGTTTTTTAGGAAAAGTTGTCATAAAACATGCATTTGGAAAGCAATGTCAGCCAAACTTTCTAAGCAAAGCTAACTTTTAGAAAGATGACATATTAGCAA